GTTTGGAACCTTTGGTGTAGTAATGAATATTACTGGAGTTTTTTCCCCAACACCAAATCGTTATTTTCACACCTCGACACGTGTTTCGATCACCAAGTGATCATTTTCAAGATCACCAAGTGATCTTCAAGATCACCAAGTGATCTTCATGATCACTTGGTGATCGAAACACGTGTCGAGGTATAAAAATAACGATTTGGTGTTGGGGAAAAAACTCCAGTAATATTCATACTATTGTATGTTCAATCCAATTGAAATGGTTTGGACCACAATAAAAGGAAGTTTACGGTAATGTAATCAGTCACCGACTTTGAATGCTGTAGTGCTTGACAATATAAGGCGAGTGGTGAATGAAGTAGGTAATAGTTATGTGTGGAAGAACTGTGTGGTTCACGTTATGAAAGAAGAGAATAAATGTGTGCAAAGTTTCATAAATCCGATCGTTATTCAACCCAATGATGATTCCACCGCATCCGAATATAGCGAAGAAGAATTTTGATTTTTCTAGCAATTTTGTTGGCCTCTATCATTTTGTAAGTATATGTTTGACTTGGGAATCAAATACCTTGAATTTCGAAGTTTTTCATAATTACCCATGGTGGAAAAATTCAGTAGAGATAACATTTTCATGGGGTGATCAATTGCGATAATTGTAAGAATAAGTAACTGAAAAATAATATGCCGACGCCTATGTCGAGGCGGGAATTCCTTCTCTGTGCTGTCCCAATTGGTATTGGAAATACTATAAACACAAGTAACGATTATTTGCCAAGTACACGAGTCGTTTTCACACTGACAACGGTGGAACCTTCGCCAATCAGGACTAGGCAGAAACGGCCTTTATCGACATCGAATCTAGAGCACCCAATTTTCATGCCGATGGAATTAATCAACTAGTGTTACGTTGGCAAAAGTGCACTGTTTCAAATGAAGCTTATTTCGATGAAATTGAATAAGTACATACTAGTAATCTTCAAATAAAAGCACATGTCTCATCACTTCTTATCAATTTTCGTATCCGAACAGATATCTCATTTTAATTGGTGCTTTTCTTTCACAGGAATAATGGAGGAAGTGAAGGCAGATGAAACATACAAAAAGAAGAATCCCTATGATAGAGCCAACTTCATTTCAAAGTTATTTTTTCTGTAGGTATCTTCAAAACTCATCTGAAAATTTAGTGAATCTGTAATCTTGAAAAAGAATTTCTGTTAAGATTCGCTAATTATCATTTTGATTGTGATGTTCTAGAGATGAGATTACATCATTCAACTTCTTCATTTTTACGTAGCATTTTTTTAACACTCATTAATTATTTGTGAAATGATAAAACAACGATAAAAATATAAACAACAATAAAAATTAAATGGCGCTCCGGCGACTTCATTGATTCCAGTGGCGCATTTGCTTTTTCAGCTGCAGGAAAACCCGGAAAAACCTGCAGCACCACATCATCTGAAGATCTTGATCTNATGAAATTCGTAGGGAAATAATAAATTTCATTATTTTTCAGAGTCATACGATTGAAAATATCGTTCATTATTATAAGAAATTTTGATGATTCCTATATTGATTCTTGTGGGACTCATTTAGTGTCCATGACAGCAGAGTCCCTTGTTTTCTTTTTTTAATGTTTTTTTTCAAGTCTGCTATGAATCACATTTGGAAAACATTTTCAGTGATACGAACAATATGTCTGCAGAAAATAGATATAAAAATTCAAAGCGTATTTCGTTTTCTACAATTAACTGAATTTTTCAGATTTTTATTACCCTACTTTGTGAAAGGCTACAAAAGAGAACTGACTGAAGATGATATGTATAGTCATAGACATAAACATGACTCCGGTAAGCTTGGAGAGAGATTGGAAGCAGCTTGGCAGTACCAGGTTAAGCATAAAAAGAATCCTTCATTTATCAAAGCTCTCTGTAGCGTATTTCTCTCTGAAATCTTCATGCTCTGGATCATTGCATTTGCTGCTGAAATAATTAGGTGAGGATTTTTAAACAAATGTGGTCGAAAATTTTAAAGATGACTGAAACAAAGCTGTTTTCTACTCTTGTTGGCCGTGTTCTACAGATTTCCATTCTTGAGGTTTCCTCTATAACTACGGTGGACATCATCAGATAAAGAAAAGAAAAATGAAACTTTCTATGTTTTTTACCACTTTTATTTGTAACTAACGTTTCTCCAGTTTCGTCCTATACGGACATTTTCAAACTTATACAATAAACCAACAATGGTTCATTATATTAGCCCTTATACACCACCCCTGTTGGTACTGATAGAGGTACTCAGCTTGATTGAGTACTTGAATTTGCAGTTCATAATGCGGATGTGCTAATTTAAAAAACCGCAATGTTTATGCTTGTGAATTTCCAAGGATTCTAGATAATTGAGTTTGTAACCCTTTTCTTTTCTTCATTATGATTTCCTACCACGTAGTAACGACTAAATCCATCAATTTATTATCAAATGCGATGAGGTAAGAGTTGTCTACATAGCCCTTGTTGATATACTGCTTTCGATAATATCTACCGCACTTGGAGAAGAAATGACTGGCAAAAACACTTGAAGAACATAGTCAACAAACTCAGAAAATAGATTTGACAATGAAAGGTGGGGGAAATATCTTAGCAAAATTTCATAAGGGTTTGAAAACTGATATTGTTGCTTCATTGAACTTCATTTTGTCCACAGGTTGAGCCAACCTCTGCTGATATCGAAGCTTCTCACACTGTACGATGAAAACCAAGTTGCAGAAAACCAGAAATATCTGTATATATATTCAGGACTTATTGTTCTGTCGCTATTCATAACTGTATTCCTTACTCATGCTTTCTTTCACCACATTATGCAAGTAGGTATGAAGCTGAGGATTGCATGTTGTTCTCTCGTGTACAGGAAAGCTCTCAGATTGAACAAATCCGCTCTTGCTGAAACCACAATCGGACAAATGGTCAATTTGCTGTCCAACGATGTGGGAAGATTCGACCAGGCTACCCATTTCATGCACCATTTAATAATGGGACCTGTGGAAATATTGGTTGTTATGATTTTGTGTTATTTCAATGTTGGATACACCGGACTCATAGGAGCTGTATTTCTCTTAGTTTCTGTTCCGTTTCAATGTGAGTAAGAAATTAGGTGTGTTTTTTATGAAAAGTTTGTTCGTGAAACCTCTCTGTGTACTCTAAAATACTAAAAAATCTTCACAGACGTCAGAAGTCAACAAAACTGCCCCAATTGTCCTCTCTGTAGAGCTCTTCAGCTTTACAACTCCTGATGCTGCTAACAAACCGAGTAGGCCAGATGGTGCAGCCAGGAAGTTACTAGGTCGCCACTCTTGCCTTGCAGCAGGAGTGTGTTCTACATTTAGAGGGAAAATAATCTCTACTCACGCACATCAGCAAACGCTTACGCTACAATAATCATTTACACAAACCAGAAGCAAAAAAGCCATAATTCGCTAAATTCAATGATCAGGACTTACAGATGCACACATATGAGAAGGCTGCATTGGTTTGAGGCACAATAGACCCTCGTGGATTGCAGTGAAACGTCGAATATATCCACTAACTTTGGGCTTAGTCCCTACCTAATCTGATGAAAGAACTAGATTCACAAGTTTGTGGTGATATATTTTTCTCAGTGAATATATGGAAAAGACAACTCGCGTCCATATGTTTTTTGTAAATTTCGACATGTCAAATTTAAAAAAAAGTTGAAATAGGAGTTACATTTTTGGATATATTGATACTTTTGAATAAATAGCGTGCATTTATTTGTTGAGCTTCAAGTGATCACATAACAAACCCCTTCTGTTTCTTATCACAAGAGATGCAATACATTTCTCGATGCGCGTTTCACCAACCAAGTTGGTGCCTTCAGGAGATTAAGAGGTTTCGCGTCGAGAAGAGTATTGCATTTCTGGTGATTGAGGAAACTGCTTGTTTCATAATGTTTTCTTCGATTTGAAAGACTGTTATTGGCCATCTGACGATTCATCATTATTTTCAGCATGGCTTGGTAAAAAAACTTCCAAGTATAGGTTGAATACAGCTCTGCGTACGGATGAACGAGTACGTCTAATGAATGAGATAATTTCTGGAATACAAGTGATAAAAATGTAAATGTCAAATTAAAAAAAAAAGTTGAAATAGGAGTTATATTTTTGGATATATTGATACTTTTGAATAAATAGCATTTGGCTTCGAATGCCAAAATATCATTTTCAATTCAACTATTAATAGTCTTGGTAATATTCACGTGCATTTATTCGTTGAGCTTCAAGTGATCACATAACAAACCCCTTCTGTTTCTTATCACAAGAAATGCAATACATTCCTGGATGCGCGTTTCACCAACCAAGTTGGTGCCTTCAGGAGATTAAGAGGTTTCGCGTCGAGAAGAGTATTGCATTTCTGGTGATTAAGAAAACTGCTTGTTTCATAATGTTTTCTTCGATTTGAAACACTGTTATTGGCCATGTGAAGATTCATCATTATTTTCAGCATGGCTTGGTAAAAAAACTTCCAAGTATAGATTGAATACAGCTTTGCGTACGGATGAACGAGTACGTCTAATGAATGAGATAATTTCTGGAATACAAGTGATAAAAATGTACGCCTGGGAAAAATCTTTCGCTAAGTTGGTGGAACTAGCCAGAATGTAAGTAGTTTGCTCAAAAGTTTGTTTTTTCTGGAGGTTGGTTAGTTTTTTGTTGAATATTCAATTTCAAGATATAAGATGAAAGGTATCCCAAAAATAACCATATAGCGCGGTTTCGACCTTACACAGATTTCATAGATCACAGATGCAATGCTGGACTTGACTCCAAAACTAGACCATTCTTTGCGATACAAATCGGAATTTAGCTTGATGTTGAATTTTTCGTAGGAAAGCCATTGCCAGTAATTTTCGAATTTTTTAGAAGCATAATTACTTTTTTCGCTTGTTATTTGACCACGGAAGCGCAGAAGAATACGACTTTGAAACTGTATATTACGACTTTAATCTCGAGCTACTGAGTTTGGAGGCAAAACTTTGACATGAAAACTCAATCTTCGAATATTAAAGATAAGCGAAGCTTCCCAAGGCGGCCAGTTGCAAAGCCAAACTTTGACATCGACCACTAACGAGTGTCGTTTTCTGTCTTCCACTGCAGCTTTCACTACAAGGCAACTTTTTTTGAAGCCATCTATAGGATCCTATCCCATAGATGGCGTTTTTGTGAGGGAAAATGTCATCGCTTGTCTTTCAAGAGCAGTTGAGTTCAGCAATGCATTGGTGGTTCAGCCTAGCATCACCTTATGCGACTTATGGATACCTATCCATAATTCGCCCAACTAGAAATTTTATATTTTTTTCAATGGTTGTGAAAACGTTTCGGAGAAACAAATTATAAAAGTGTATTTCTTCCAGAAATGTTTTCGATGTGTTTATAAAACAGCTATGAATAGGAAATTGGCACTGTTTTATAAAACATTATAGTATTTAATTAATTGATGGATGTAGCCGTTACTACGTGTTAGGAAATCATAATGAAGAAAAGAGAAATGAAACTTTCTATGTTTTTTACTACTTTTATTTGTAACTAGCATTACTGCAGTTTCGTCCTATAAGGACATTTTGAAAATTATACATTAAACTAACTATGGTTTGAATGAAAATCGTATATTACAAATTTTACAGGTATTTACAATTTTTGTGAGTGTGTGTGTTTGTGTAGGACCCTGCTATAGGCTTATGCCTCTTCAGCATTACATTAGCCTTTATATATCACCCATTCAGGTGATTATACAGGTACTTGGCTTGATTGAGTACCTGAATTCACAATTAACAGTGCGGATTTGCTAATTTGAAAATCGGTGAGTGAACTAAATCGATTTGATTATTTAACATGTTACACCCGCAATGTTTATGCTTGTGAATGTCCAAAAATTCTAAATAATTGGGTTTGTGACCCTTCTTTGCATAGTGCAAAATTTCAGTATCGTTTAGATTCGTAAACTTGTGGTTGCATGCCAAGGAATGGTTTGAAAACGTCGAATCATTTTTTCCTAGTCTGAAGGACCTTTCATGTTCAGCATACCGTTTTTGGAAATTTTAACCACATTGCCCCACATAAACACTATTACACTCCGGACACTTAAGCTTATTAACTTCAGATTTCTCCAACTTGTCCACCTTATCTTTGGCATTGAAAAGGAAATCAGATAACCTGGCATGTGGTCTGGATGCCACTTCCACATTGTTTTTTCTGAAGAAACCCACAATTATCTCTGTCCTTTTTCCAAAATATGTTAGAGTTACCCATTTCTGGATTTCTGTTTGTTTGACCTGTTTGTTTTCTGACTAACTTCTGGATTGTATCTGCGTTGAAACCATTATTATGACCTATCTGTGTTATTATATCAATTTCCCTAGCTAGACAATTTTTATGAACAGGATTCAGGTTTACCAATGGGCTCACTCATTAGTCCACTATTAGCAGACATATTTAAGAACAACTTGGAGACCACTATAGTAAATTCTGACCTGGGTAAAAAACATATACATTTTTGGTACAGATATGTAGACGATATTCTCGCCTGTTTCAGAGGTACTACACGATAGCTGAACCAATTTATGACATTCATGAATAATCTGAATAGCAACATTCAGTTCACACTTGAAACAGAGATAAAGAAAGAGATTCATTTCTTAGACCTGACCATTACACACAATCAGAATAAATTTGAGTTCAATATTTTCAGAAAACCTAGCTATATAGACATCAGTATCCCAAGCGAATCTTTCCATCCCGACATACATAAATTAGCAGCCTACAATTCAATGTTGCACAGAGCATTCTCACTGCCTTTGTCTGCTAAAAATTTAGCTGGGGGAATTGATATAATCACACAGATAGGTAATAATAATAATTTCAACGCAGATACTATCCAGAAGTTAGTCAGAAAACAAAGTCGTAAATTCACTTACAGAAATCAAGAAATGGGTATCTCTAACATATTTCGGAAAAAGAATAGAGATAGTTACGGTTTTTTTCGAAAAAAACAATGTGGAAGTGGCATTCAGACCACATGCCAGGTTATCTGATTTCCTTTTCAATGCCAAAGATAAGGTGGACAAGTTGGATAAATCTGGAGTTTATAAGCTTAAGTGTCCGTAGTGTAATAGTGTTTATGTGGGGCAATGTGGTCGAAATTTACAAAAACGGTATGCTGAAGATGAAAGGTCTAGGAAAAAATGATTCAACGTTTTTAAACCATTCCTTGGCATGTAACCACAAGTTCCCGAATCTAAACGATACGGAAATTTTGCACTATGCAAGGAAGGGTTACAAACTCAATTATTTAGAATCTTTGGAAATTCACAAGCATTAACATTGCGGGTGCAACCTTTCAAATGATCAAATCGATTTAGTTCACTCCCTGGTTTTCAAATTAGCAAATCCGCCTTGTAAATTGTAAATACAGGTACTTTATCAAGCCAAGTATCTGTGTTATTACATACAGGGGTGCTATATGAAGGCTAATGTAATAAAAAGTTTGAGAATGTCCTTATAGGACAGTCACAAATTAACTCAGTTTGTTCTAAATAATATAATCTCATAATATATATGTACTTTTCATCTGTAAATATCACTATATGTGCAGTATTTCATATTTTCAAGTCATCTAATGTCAGTATTCCGAATTGTTATCAATTTAAAATGGCGTCGTTCTATAAAATAATTTGGTATCAATAGCACGAATTTTAATGTATTTTAGGTTCTATGTTACCCCTATAAAACTGTTAGGTAACACATAGTTCTAGGAGTGTTGGTATTGCGGCAGAGTCTGACTACTTTTGAAGATATATATTTCTATAAAAATGAAGATTCGATTTCTCACAAATTGTTTGTATGAATATTATCTGTCGGGATGTTTTGGTCAAAAACGAACCACTCTTCTAAATTTTTTGCAATGACCAATATTACACGACGTTATTAGGTTTACAGTGCATTTCATAAATGCCTCCCCTTATATTTTTTGAACGGGTCAACTCAAAAAATTGAAATTTGGGATAATGAAATCAATGCATGAATACTTCATTTCAAAGTGAAATTGATAGATGAAACTCTCAAGATGGCGACGGAACGCCATCTGGGAAACAAATTAAATAGAAAGAGGGGTCTTGTGACACATCATTTTGAAGCTCGTGATAAATACTTCACAACCCTAGAACATGAAGTCAATATATTCATCTTCTACAAAATGGCGGAAAATTTAATAATTTCCTGAAGACAAATACATTAATATATTAATATTTCTAGAAATATTCCTTATCCCATATTCCATATGGCAATTCCAACAACCCGATAATGTTTGTTAAGTTATTTTTTGTTTATAAAAACGACAAAAGTGTACGACAATGAACATTATTTTTCAGTTAGAATATTCTCATTTAGTTTTCGGTTTTACTAGTAGAAAGGTACCACGTCAACAATCTCTAAAATGGTCAAATCTCGTCCATTGAAAGAAAAAATTGAAGCGATTTTCATTTACAGTGCGACGCGTAACTTTCACGACACCGAAAGGATTTTTTCCGAATCGTCCTACCTGTAAAAAATATTTGACGGAACTTGTATCCAAATTAACAACTACCGGTAGTGTACATAACAAAAAAACCCCAGCTCATTCGTCCATTCCGGAAGAACAGCAAGTGCAAATAATTGGTGAGATGGTAGTAAATCTTGAACAGTCTACTTATTCCCTCGCGAATGTTTGTGAGGTGTACAGAATTCTGCGAAATCATGACGGAAACCATTGCAAGGCATCCTACCTATCTTCACAATATTTGTTTTAGTGACGAATGTACATTTTTCATACAGCAATGTTCACAGACAAAATTGTCGTTATTGTAGTGACACCAACCCTCACGTTTTCCGGGAAACACATACCCAATTTCCAGAAAAAATTAACGTTTGGGCAGGAATATTGGGAAAACATATTTCAGGACCCCTATTTATTGATCAAAATTCAACACGCGAATTGTATTTGAATATGCTGGAAACTTCTGTTAGCCCTCTCATGGCCAGCCCGCTGGCCAGATTTGACACCTGTGAACTTTTTTTATGGGGCTATTTGAAGCAAAAGGTGTACGAAACTGAACCTGCTTCAATATTGGATATACGGCGGAGAATAATACATATTTGTGGAAATATTGACGTTACTGTGTTCGAAAATGTTCGGCGTGAATTATCGGATAGGCTGTTCATATATCAAGAAGTTCAAGACAACCATTTTGAGCATCTTCTGAATTGACCTCAAGCTTATTACGTCGTATTATGTAGTTGAATGTCAATGTATTTAGGCATTCCGCCATTTTGTAGTTGTTGAAGATATTGACATTATATTCTAGGGTTGTGAAGCATTTGCCAGGAGCTTCAAAAATATGTGTCACAAGACCCCCCTTTTCTTTTAATTTTTACGAGGTTCTATTGTTTAAATAAGACATCTGATTTGTGCGAGAAGGATACTGTTGAGGAAGATTATTAGTGGCATACTGTTGCTGCGATCGTTTCTCCATATGCCCGAGGGTAGCCCTGAACAACAAATTATCAATTTCATTCATTACTATAATTCGATCCATCTCATCGAAAGCCTCTAATTTCTCAGCAACCACCT